ATCGCTCGACGTGGACTGTATAAACACGCCCAGGCTACACACAGCCCGATGCTGGCCTGCCAGACGCAACATTGAAAACCGAATCGATACGGAAAATGAATCTCGCCGGGTACACATTCGCGGCGGCGGCAATATCGTCGTCCCGCATGCGCCACCCGCGTTGCTGTTTTCTGTTTCTCTCGTTTTTCTCACCCTCGATATTTCTTCCGTCTTGTATACACCTATTAAATTCCTATTTTGAAAAGAGCCCTTTAGAAACCCGCCTTTGCAAATCTCCCTCTGACAGCTCCGCGTATGATTTATCACGTACGCGTGATGTGCCGGTGAAAAATAGTATTCGCCAACCTTTCGCCACGCACATTTCGAGGAAAGTAAACTCGGGGAGTTAATCTTCGAGAGAGAAATTTCGCATTCGCGGTAAATAATGTATTATCGGGTGCGCCCCCTCCCGGGAGAGTCATTCGTTTTCCATTATTTGGCGTTTGCGCTAAGGATGCTCACCTCGAGTGGGAAAGCGAGAATTGGATGAAAAGTTGTTGTGAGATGAGAGGGATTCGCGAGCGGCGGATCGGGGATGTGAAAGCCGCAGGTTAATAAGATTCGGCGGTCGGATTGGAAACGGATTCGAGCGAGGATTCTACGCGAGCGAGCGATTCGGTCGCCGCATATTATAGCGTCGGCGGCTGGTAATAAACCTTCGGGGAATACGCGGAGAATGCAAATTTAATAAGTTCGCTCCCTTACGTCGAGCCTAACGACGCGAGAAATTATTCAAGCAGCCAATAGAACCGCATGCCCCCTGCTTAAACCCCAAGCTGACCCCGATCTCTGGCCCGGATCCAAGCCCCGAGCCAAGCCCAGATCCAGACCTAATTCGGAAGAAAGAAAAATAATTCAGTAATGATGTCAACTCGGTGATGATAATTTTCTCAATCATTGTCTCGATTGTGATATTCGGTTAGCGCTCGAATTCAGCGTTATTTATAACTTCAAAAGACTCGCGGCGTACGTTTTTGTACCGCCGAGCGTGATGCTGAGCTTTTCTTTTTTTCCCCCCCCTTTTTTTTTGCGACACGTGTGCCAAGAAAGACGTCATCAGAGCCGGCCGGCGCACGACGCTACTCTCCCGGTGCGCTCTTCGGAATTCCTGCCGGTACAACGACGGGGGAGAGGGTTGACAATCGCAGGTGTCGGGTTTGAATGGCGTTCGGCGTATTCGTTTTATATGAACGGCGGAACGACGCGCGATATTGCGTCGTCGTTCGATCGCGCGGCATTCAGGATGCGACCCGCGGCGCCGATATCTCGTCCTCCGAGATAACGCCCCTTTCATCTCCCTTCATCGGCGTTCTCGGTATTTTGTACCATTTTGCCAACACGACGACGAAGGCGGCGGCGGCGGCCGTTGCCGTATCGCTCTCGAGACTGCAAACCAGAAATGCGATTCCGCGCGCTACTCCCTTTGAATTATTCAGAATGTACAGAATACCCCGTGCAATCTCCACTATTTGCGGTCGACTTTTTAATATTGAACATTGAATATCTCGACGGCCGTTCCGCGAATGAGAAATTATTTTAATTCGACTTTTATAGAACTTCATCGTCTGAGTTGATTGCAAAGAGACGCGCCGCGATTCGATTTCTCTTTCAACTTTTCCACAACTCCGCCTTGTAATGTAACGGAAAAGAGAGAAAGAGAGAATGGAATTAATCGGGATTAGCGGTGATCAACGTCGGCGCAATCGGGCATTAATCTACTGCAGAAATTCCGCAGCTCTCTCGTTAAATCTCTTTGTTTCGCCGGCGGTGAATCGTTTTTTTTTTCCTCCTCTCTTTTCTCTTCCGCGAAATGGTTTCCCGATCGATCCGGCTTACATACAGCGTTGTTAATGTCGTTATGTAATAAGAATCGCCCGGAGAGAATTTGTATCATTTGTATCCTTGACAGCTGAGCCCAGGAAAACGCGATTATCCGGCTCGCGTTACGCATCAGTCACGTTACTGCGTTAACGTCACGCAAAAAAAAAGAAAGAAAAAAAAATAGATATTTCACTTCTCGCGCGTGTACTCCGCGAATATTAATTGCAGACTGGTTCGACGGGACCGGATTTCTTGTCGCGTAATACTTGGCCGCCTATTAGTGGCTTCAAAGCGAAACCTCAAACTCCTAGCGATATCTTATCGCGGCGACAAGAGAACTCGCTTTGCGATCATTAATTTATATATTAATTTCCATCTACGTAGTAACAGGCGAAGTGCTTCTCCGTAATGGAATTGCACGGTAATTGTTGTATTGAATGAAATGTGTCCCCCTGCATCCCCCTTGCGAAACTAGCGAGCGATATTTCATTTTTATTGGCAGCCAGATATTGTTCGTGTTCCCTAAAGACCGTGTACAAATCCTATTCCGATAATCGAAGATTCGAAGTACAGAAAGAAATCTGTTGGTAGCTCTCGATCCGCGGAAAAGTCGCTCGGAATATCCTTAAAGATGCTACTCGGCGTCCTGTTTCAAATGCGGACACACAGCACGCAATTCCTTTTCACGTCCGTTAAGCGCTTCCGCTCGACGTGTAATGCGAAACGTCTGCGTTCCGTTTCTGCAATTTAACGGCGAGAAACCGCTCACGGCGGAAGTGTGCAAAAACGACATGATTGGTCAGAAAGAAATAGAACATACCGAGAAAACGGAGAGCGATCGGAAATGACAATGCAACCTTCCGTGAAAAATGCGCGCCCCGATCAATTTGGAAAACAATTCTGCCGTAGCGAACTTTATTTACGCTCTTCGGTGAAAAAAAAAACCTGTTTGATATACTTTTTGTACAAAATAAATTTAAATATTGGAACTAGCTCGCGCAAATGAGAAATCAGTATTTAATCATTATTCCTGATTTTGAAATAATAAGAACATTAATAATCAAATAATTGCGTAATAATATTGTGCTTTGGAATAATGAGAATGTTATTAAACAAAAATGAGAATATTATTAAAATATTAAATGACATTCGAGACTTATTAAACTGAATAATGCAGTAACGCGATGAGTGAATATATGCATCACGTGTATTTGTGTATAAACCGTTAATATCACTTTGGGATATTTTTGGCACGCTGTTAAATTAGAGGAGATAGCGCGAGGTTTGACCTTAGCCCTTTTCACCCTGTGTGTCCAGTGTATAAACAATGCACTCACTCGAGCAATGCATTCGCCAATAAGTAAGTGAGTCACACGAATAAATCGATATCGGGTAAATTAGAACGACTACTATCATTTCGTGGCGATAGAAGGGTAAATGTCCTCCATCTGCGGACCTACGACATTTCCTGCCGTCGCTGCCAAAGCCGCAGAATGCAATTGCTTGTTCTACTTCGGAGGTATCGATGCGCATATAAGATTGATGCAACCGCAACCTCGGTGAATGAAAAATGTCAAGGATGGTCGTTGCAATTTTCACGTCTTTACGCTTCAATAATAATGCAAACGAAGTAATATTCGTTCAATAATCATTATTATACTTGTTTCCTTGGTACACAAGTGTGTTGAACGCACATTGTACATTTATGGATATGTCACTTGCAGATCTATTTTTAATTACAAGTACTTGATAAAATCATAAAATATATTTAAGGGCAAAGCAGAGGAAAAGAAAGACCGGTAACTATTTTTGGTGGTATCATCGCGAATCGAGTAAATTTCTCGGAGGAATTATAATGAGTTTACCGAAGAATTGCAACAATCAGCTTACGATGTAATATCCTTAAAGGATTAACTTCTCGTCGAGCCAGTTTCCTTGTGACTACGCGGAACGTTCACAAGTGCGTTTTCCACTTTAATGTGGAAAGCAGCCTATATTGTCGAGTGTCAACGGGATTTTCGATTTCTTTTAAGGTATCAAAGGTGGCACGAAGAAGTTTCTTCTTGCAAAACTTTTGAATTTGCCCCGAAGTACCGTATAAACTTCCACACATCGTTCCATTTCCGCTATATCAAAACTTCTATTTGAGTTACTCTTCATCGATACGCGTTACTCATGTTATTTTGTTGAGCCAACATCCTCCCGCAGCATCTAACTACAAAGTCCTTTAAATCCGCCGTCTCTTGTTACAACGGCGTATAATGCCAGCTTAGTAATTATCTGCACGACACATCGCTGCCGTATGCGCGCGTGTTGTGCATCGGCGTTATTCGCACGATATATTTATATACGAGTTATTGTCGTTTTCCGTGAAAACAAATATCAGGCCAATAAAGCGTTGAAAAAAAATAAATAAATTCAACAAAACGCGTATTCTCTCGATAAAAGATACGCGCGCGCGTGTAATTATTTGTTTACAGATAAAATCGATTTTACCGATTGTTAAACGGGTTAACAGATAATCGAGCAATCTCCGCACTCGATTACAATTTACCGAAGCTAATAATCCATTGTGTAAATAAACAAATATTTACGATATTCCGCCTCAGTACAATTTAATATTCGTAAACTATTACTCGATATCCATCCGATTCTTATTTACACAAGTCGCGTGCAATCTCCGCGATCGATGCCTATCAAATTGTAATTTGCTTAATTTATATTTTCCCCCTCCGATAAAAGCATAATTCCGAGCTTAATAAGTGAACTCGGTAAACATATTCTGCGCGCTACGCCAGCAATAAAAGTTATGGTGGAATCAAAGTTGCGCGAATTTGTTAAAGCGAGTTTTATTTTTATTCGACGTGGTAAAGTAAAAGAAATCAGAACTCTTGTCAAACGAGATAATTATCATTCAGCAAACTGATATTTCTGTATGTTAGTTGCGCGTAATCAAAATTGTTATTTTATCATTAAAATTAACATCAAATTATTAAGCTCTATATAAATGGGATCAGTTAACCGGTTGCAAATGAAAGTTTATGACAGAGTAATGACAGAAATTTCAGTCTCACTACAATGTTGCATTAAATTAAAATTTCTAAATTAACGTGCATACTAATTATATATTCTAATTACAGTCTGCCTGCTCTTTATGTCGCTTTTCTACTGCGCATACTGCGGGATCTGGCATATTTGTATGAGAACAAAAATATTCCATGTGATGCACAAAGTTTGAGGTTCCAAGTACATTTAAAATTCAAATCTCAACATTGTGAAATAATTTACATGTAAGTATGCTTGTTATTCAAATTTTTTACATTCTTGTAAAGAATTGGAAATTCTTTCATGATTTTGTAAGAGTCATAAAAAGCTTTTATTTATATGAAACTGGGTTAAATATTGTTCTTTCAGATCGGCAAATTTAACATCGAATCTGCTCCCTTCAGCTATATTTTTTCAAACACATTTCAAAAGAAGGTATATAATGGGATATGAAGGATAAATGGAAAAAAAGAAGAGAAATTAAAATAAAAATTATAGAAAATGCGACTGTAGAAAGCAGATTGTACTAGTACGTGATCTGGCTTGCACTCACGTGTCTCTCCGGTGCGGCACGTGGTGGGATGAAGCCGATTCGGTTGCGACGAGGTCAGCCAACCAGATGGACCGCCCCGCAGAACTGCTGCGAACGCGCTGCTGCTCCGAGAGTAGTAAGGCACTCAGTGTTGCGCGACGGAGGGATAAATCCCTCCGGGCGGGATTTTAGCGCGCACGCGTGACCGTACGTTATTATCGATCACGTGACTGACCCAGACTCGTGTTCGGACACTACATAAAGCGTTTACTGGCGGGCCCGTGTAAATTATTCACGTTTCGAGTCTTCTAAGAATTTAAAATGCAACATTTCAATCTGCAAAAGTCGATGGATTTGAATTTCCGCCAAACGAGTTCAGATCTTCACTGGGGTGCAAATCTTCGCTAAGCGGGTTCGAGTCTCCGCTGGATAAATTCGAGATGGGACTACTTAGTGCATCGTCATCCCGTGAGAGACGCTGGCTTCGAGCGACACTTTCATGTTCGACCTTCGAAAAATTCGATAGTGCGAGTGACAACAAACGGCAGTGGAAACTACTGGAATTTCTTTCACATATCCCATAAAAGCAAATAGAAAGGCCGAAATACGTAATAGCTGCGTTCGTTCGACAAGTAACGATATCGCATAAGACGAAATAGTCGCGTGACACATACTCGTTGCTAATTTTTTTTCGTTGATGAAGGTTACTCTTGCATCTTATTTCCTTGTATGGAAAACAGTTATTTCCTTTATGTTGCATTTAAAGAACATATCATGTTTGAACGTAATTGATGTATATGTTAAAGAATCATTACTGTAGTGGAATTCTATCTTTGGACTCTTTACTCTCTTAAATGCTACAAGTGACAGTTCACTGATGTTGTTTTGACAGTCAGAACTCTTTGGCTGCATTAAAGAAGTTTGGTGCACAAGTGTACAAGTGTGATACGAAGATGAGTTCGCATCATCATTTGAGTTTGTCTTCTGGTGAAATAGATCACATCCACTTTGTCTCCGAAGATGTAGGAGCCCTGTACCTTTCGGAAAAGTATTCAGACGTGACGATAGTGGTGAGAGGACACAAATTTTACAGTCACAAGCTGATTCTTGCAGCACGTAGTGATTATTTTCGGGCTCTGTTATTCGGAGGCATGAAGGAATCTGCACAGGACGAAATAGAATTGAATACTCCCTCATTAACCGCATTTAGAAGCCTGCTCAAATATATCTATACTGGACGTATGTCTCTTGCTAACGAACGCGATGAGGTACTGTTTTACTAAACTATTAATGAAGGATACATACAGTATTGTACATTCTTGTTACTTTTCTGCTTTTTTTTTACAGGTAATATTAGATACCCTCGCGTTAGCTCATTTATATGGATTTGTAGACCTTGAAGCTGCAATATCGGATTATCTTAGAGAAATATTGAACATAAAAAATGTATGTTCAACTCTAGATACCGCACTCTTGTATCATTTGAAGTTTTTAACTAAGGTTAGTATTGTGTATTTTTCTTTTTATAATTATGGCTGTCTTGTGCAGTATAATTTACTTATTTGTAGAAAAGACAATTGTACCATTATTCCATTTATTTATTTGAACACATCTTGATCTGCACAATTAAACAGTAATTGATGCTAGTATTAGGTTTTGATGTGCGTCTTTAATATTAGGTTTGCCTTGAATACATGGATAAACATGCATCCGAAATCATTCAACATGAGAGTTTTCTCCAATTGAGCCCAACAGCTCTAAGCGAACTGATTTCTAGAGATTCCTTCTATGCACCGGAAATAGAAATCTTTAAAACTGTAAATAAGTGGGTAAAAGCCAACCCTCATGTTGAAGCAAGTGAAGTGAAAGGTAATTTTTATTATGTTGAATAACAAATTTGTCAGAATTTATATCTACAAACGCAGTGTCTCACGCTAAATATATGTACCATTTTCCTGCGAGAGAAAGAAAGAAAGAGAGAGAGAGAGATGTAATTTCTCATAGCGTATCTCTTACCAGAATAATTCATTTTTTCAGAAATAATATAGAGAGAAATAATTAGATATTAAATACATTTGCACGTAAATTATTTTTATTATCGCAGCACATTTGAGACTGCCTTTGATGGGGGAGTTGGATATTCTGCTTACCGTGAGATCATCCAAATTATTCTCGGATACAGCCCTTGTGGACGCGTTGACCGTGCAGATAACGGTGCCCAACTGGAAACTGCCTCATCGCGGCCGACTGCTTGTCGATGAAAACGTTGCCAGTCAGATGCTCGGTGCTCAAGTTCTACAAGGGGAAATGCGCAGCTATCTGCTTAACGGAGATACGCACAATTACGACATGGAACGTGGCTACACCAGGCACACCATAACCGACACGCAAGAGCATGGGATTCTAATTCAATTAGGGACGCAATATATTATAAATCATATAAAAATGTTGCTGTGGGATCGAGATATGCGGTCTTATTCTTATTACATAGAGGTAAGGACAATTTCATACAACAGTATAAATATTAATTAAATATATTATCATATAAATATCAATATGCAAATAAATTCTTCAGCCTTTATTATCATATTTTGTTAAAGGGATCGATAGATCAAAAAGTTTGGTTCAGGATCATCGATCACACAGAGTATTCTTGTCGCAGTTGGCAGTATTTATATTTTGAACCCAGGGTAGCTCTTTATGTTCGTATTGTAGGAACTAATAACACAGTGAACAAGGTGAGTGTCTGAATACAATGAATCTATATGTATCTCATTTAGTTATTCTGTCATTCTCACTTGCGCGTATTCTTTCCAATCTACTCATTTTATCTTTCATTCATCTTTCTCTTATAGCTTTCACCTCTCACTATTACTCTTTTTACATTATTCATTTTGCTTCTTCATGTTTATATGTATACAAAGAGTTCTATACAATCTGAGGATTTCATAATTATATGCTCTTCACTGAATCCAATGTATTATTTATTAATGAACTAAAAATCATAGTATTTCTTTATTTATTAGCTTTATCGTTATATCATAACGGCTCGTTACTAATTAAAGAACTTGTTTATTGGACAGGTTTTTCACGTCGTTAGTTTTGAAGCGTATTATACAAATCATACGGAGAAACTTTCAAGAGGCTTTATCGTGCCAACGCAAAATATTGCTGTTACGGAAAGAAGCGCCTGTGTCGTTGAGGGTGTGAGCAGGCAAGCAAGATTTATCTTCGTTTTTTACTACCTTCGTTTCGAAACCATATTCAACATATGTACTTTGAAACTTCCTTCTTTAGGTCACGTTATAATTTATTGAACGGAGACACATCCAATTACGATTGGGACAGCGGTTACACGTGTCATCAACTCGGTTCTGGATCGATTCTGGTGCAATTAGGCCAACCGTATATGATAGATTCTATGCGGTATGATTCCTGAATACTGCGTACATCTTGCGAAATGTGATCTGGTCGTAACTATTTTTGCATTCACGCAGATTATTACTTTGGGACTGCGATAATCGCTCCTACTCATATTACATAGAAGTGTCGGGCAATTGCTGCAACTGGGTATTAATTGCCGACAAAACGAAAGAGTCCTGTCGGTCTTGGCAAACGATACGTTTCCATCCACCCCGTCCAGTAGTTTTTATACGCATAGTAGGAACTCACAATACTGCGAACGAGGTTTTTATACATTAATTAGACCCTGTTATTTTGATAAATACAGAATCTACGTGGATCTGTGTAGATTCTGTGTAATGCTATGTTTAATCAGGAAATTGCGTTGTTTCAGGTGTTTCACTGTGTTCACTTCGAATGTCCAGCGCAATTGGATGATAAATCTCCGAAATCACCAACACAACGAGGACAATCGTCAACATCATCGGATAGTAGTAATATCTTACCCCCTCCGCCTCCCGAGGTCGCTACGGAAGCAGTTCATATCGATAGCGATGACTCGTAATTAAAGCGATAGGTGAGCGTTGAAACGCGTCAAGACGAAATGCATGTGACAGCTCTACCAATGATTCTGTAGTTGCTGCTCTTATTCTCTAAGCTAGATGAATTTGACGAATTCGTCGAGTGACCTCAATGCAACTTTTAAGACTGTTTAATAATAATCGTTGAATATAAAATTGTAATTAGTCATTTTGTTTCCTTGTTTACGAGTTTGATTTTTATATATATTATTGCGTCTCAATGACTTTAAATATAAGTAATACACGCGGTGGTTGTTAATTTTCGTAATCACAGAGGTATAGAAATTAGTCATCTTTTGCACAAATACTCGATTGTGTTACAGCAAAGTTTTTTTTACATGTTGCAGCGTATGTGTAAAATTTTATCTTTTTATGAACAAATGTTTGTAATATTTAAAAGAATATCGTAATTTAATGCAATATTTTTGTCGAGAACATTTTTAGTCTTATATGTAATTGTTCCCTGCATTTGAAATATTGTATCATTTACTGTAAAACTTGCCAACACTATGCCATGTATTTATCTTTCCATCTTAAATAATCGTTTTCACTCGTCTAAATTATCGATTCTAATTATAAATGTCCGTAAATATTTAGAATATGTAATACTTCATTCATATGGATTCTTTGTGTCTGTTAAATCTTGCATAACGTACTAATTTTCACACACTGGGAAAGGTACTAATTTATTTACATACTGAGCGTGCCAAAGTCAAAAGATTTGTATCAATTGAACATGTAATCTAAATTCATTATTTTTATATTTTCTAAATCGCAGGTCTGAGTTTTCTTACATTTTTAAATATGTTACAGTAAAGTATCATAAGGAACGAAAGATTGTAAAAATGAGGAAAAATTAGTAACCGCACAAATTATTTTAGTTAGAAACCGTTTTAGAAACTTTCGTTTTCATGTTACCAAATATTTTCTAAGCACGCGATTACGTATATTAATATTCTGTTAATATAATGGTGTCTGGTTCTACAGTATTTTTGATTATACATCTTTTTGTATCAATTTTTATTATATGTTTGATTTTTGTACACATATATAGTGTAAACCATTATTTTTCTAGTCTAAATTTGTATGTAGATGTAATGTGTCTCAGAAATCAGAATATAATAAATTATATGAAAGAATTTAATATTGCTATTATAAATATACTTTTCCTTTACATTATTTATTTAATATTTTCAAAGAACAAAATATACAACTAATTTTAAAATAATTATTATATAAATTTCTACATTTATCGTATCTTTTTTCCATTTTTTAACTATGATTTTTAATATCATAAACGCTTTTTATAATTTCATAAATTTAATATAAAAACCGTTATTTTTAATAATGCTAAAAACTACCGATTATTTAAAGATTTATTTAATCTAAAATTAAATAAAGCAATTTTGTGATCTATAAAGTTGTTGAAAAAATTATTAGAGAATACATGAAATTGTGAAAAAACAATTATTATTAAATATGTATATTGTGAAAAAGAACCTTATACCGGTATTGAATGGATTTTACATTATTCTAAAATTAACAGTTTAATGTTACTGTGACAGATGAACGATCGGTTTATCTAGATTTATAATCTCTGTGTAGGATATGAAATAGCATAATGCGGATTCATTATTCACTATTGTTATCTGCATATCACTATTGTTTTATTTGCAATCATGTAATATGATAAACATATAACAACTGTCAATATGAATTATACTTAAATCTTATTTACAATACATTAAAACTAATTTAAAAGCCAAAAAAAGGGAAATGGTAGTATATAAGATCATTTCTCTAAATGAAATCTAAGACATGGTTTAATAGTACATGGTTTCCGCACATAAATAGTAACTCGCGTCAATATCAATTAGATGACGAGTAATGTACAAAGATTACGTCAACACAGAGCATCACATTTGCTACAAACGACTCTACGTCGACGCGAATATCTCGCACGATTCATCACGTTACATGTACAAATGTGCGCGTGTAAGGAGACAAAAGAACCGATTGAGCATAAGTCATTAAACATTTTATTTCTTATCTTTTGCGATCGTTAGATCCACTGCGGCGGGAACGAGATCGACGGCTGTGGCTGCCACTGCGGGAACGTTTTGATCTAAAACAGAAATCATATGAAAAACATGAAGCAACAGCGGAAACGCTCGTAATAAATACACTTGTAAATTTTCGTTATATTGATTTTCACTCGTTTAGATTTAAAATTACGAAGCGAAATATTTTTTGCCATTATCAATTCGGAATTTAAGCCGGCAATTGCTGTAGCTTCCTGTATTTTACATTTTATTCTATAATTAATATGATATAATCCTTAATTTGTATATCGATTTAAATCCGAAAGCATTTTACTCCGCATATTTCGTGCTTGAAAAACCTACAATATCATTCAATCTTTTACTAAAAATCGTATAATTAAGGTACATAAACGGCGAACGTTCGAAAAATACCCGGAGTCTCTATTTGTTAATCAGACTCTGGAAAATCAGAGTAGGAAAAAGAAGCGAACTTGAGACGCGGCTTAAATCAGAGGCGAAAAATGCACAAACCTTTTTCCACGACTGCGACTGCGAGATCGTGACTTTCTCCTGTCCCTGTCTCTACGCTCCCGGTCGCGATCACGCTCGCGATCGCGATCGCGATCACGCTCGCGATCACGGTCACGGTCACGCTCGCGTTCGCGTTCGCGGTCACGGTCACGGTCTCTGTCACGGTCGCGGTCCCTGCCCAATCCGCCGCGGTTCCTATCCCTGTTGTCACGATCTCTGTCGCGGTCCTCCCTGTCCCGGTCCCGTCTCCTGTCGAGCATGGACTCGCGCTTCTCCTTCCGCCTCTCTTCGACGGTCTTCTGCAGCTCGGCAAGCTTCTCGCGAATCTTGATGAAACCCAAGTGCAGTTTACCGCCGAAATGATCGGCCAGCCGCCGGTCGTTGTCGTGTATGCCGAGATATGCGCTGCACACTTCACACACTCGCAGCTTTTGCTGCTGATAACTCGACGCCGGCATGCTGTTACGATACTCCTGCTCAGCCTCGTTCTTCTTCTTACGCAGCTCGTCGATCTCGCCCATCAGCTTCATCGACTCCTCGACGAAGCCTTCCTCGCCGAGCTGCTCGGCTTTGGCTAGTTTCTTACCGATCTCCTCGGCGAGCACGTGAACGTTGTTCGCCTTCGCCGCCACTTCCGCGCTCAGCTCCTCCTGCGTCTCCGCCAGCCGCTGCTTCGCCTGCTCCGTACGACGATCGCAATCGGCGATGAAGTTCTGTAGATGTTCCATTGCCTGAACATTCAGAAAAATGCAATTACATTCCATGAATTCATCGTACATATATCGCTATACAAATTGTAATTTGATTATTGGAAAATATTGTTAATCGTATTTCTTGATTATTGCACGCAAATTATCGTGATTCGATAATTAAACAAATATTACTATTAGAATTATATATTACGTTATCAAGAAAGTGTAGTTGACGAACGTAATAGGATAATGATAAGTTTGGCTGCTGTGCGGCCTGATACTCACATCAATGTCGTAAAAGTGATCCCTCTTCCTTTGCGCGGCCTCGTAGTCAGCCCGTAGGGCCAAGTCGTGAATCTGGGGGCATTCTCCCAGGTCCATGCGCTACGATTTACAAATCAGTCTGTATTAGATTACGGCAACTCCGTTCGCGTGCGAGTCTTATCGATTCTATGCGAGTCTAGACCCTCCCCGACTTTTGCATTTACGAGATACTTCTTACTTGACAAGAGCATAACGTACTTGGTCGCAGTACCGCGACTGGAAATTAGCATGAATCGATAATCAAGGAGAGAGACAGAGATCATACGACAAAAATTCTGAGCTTATACGTCGCCTGTATCCTTAGGATAAGACGGTTCCAATAGGCTTTTATATTATTTGATTTTGATATTTCTTTGAACTCACAGAGACGTCAGTTCGTTTTTTTTTCCCTGCACTAGGATAGAACGCACAATAATGAAGCGATCCGATCGTCAAACGATCCGTCGCGTATAAAGTAGAAATGCAGATTTGTACAGATAAATAGTTTGTTGTTTTCACTTACAGGGTGGCAACAGTTCTCCGCCTGACACGAGAATGCGATGGCAATGAAGCTATAATCAGCACACACCTTAAGTTTCATAACGTTTCACTTTTTTCTACGAAAGAGAACTTACAGCCTATAATTGATTTATTATACTATTTTACGTACGGCACAAAAAATCTGTGTCTTACTGTTGGCTGCTAGACGGATTTTTTTTAGAAAAAAAAAAAACGGATTCAATACGTACACATCCAATGGCCGAAGGAAATTTTGCTAATGGAACTGGCACTTGTTGTACCAAGCCGCCTAAATCACACGTCTTTCTGCGTCATGCCACCTTTCTCATTTCTCTCTTGCCGACACGTTTGGGTGTTGCAAATTGCCAAAAATAAATGTCGCGCGTGCGGGACGGTTCGAAGAAACTTGTTGAAAAATCGCGAGTGTCCTTCGCGTCGACAGAGACGCAATTTAAGTTTACATTGTGTTTCAAAATTTACATCGGCATAAACATCAAACGAGTACAAACGAGTGGAAACTCCACGCTATAAATTACATATTTAAACGGATTATTTGCGCAACGAGAATTGTGATTCTTGAGCAAAGCTTCTCTCGCGACGGAGCGGTGAACTTCTTGGCAATTCGCAAGTCTTACTTACAGATCACTGCTTCATTTCCTGCACCCATAACCCTCCACAGGATGATATATTTTTTCTCACACACATTCTCAAAGTAAACTTCTCATTCCTACCTGCCGTAAACGGCATTATTAGTAAGAAGCGACATTAAGACATCGTCTCATGAATCAGCATGACGCTACTCACCGAAGCTCACTGTTTACAGGCCTTTTCGGGGGTTCTGGGATTTTATTCGTTCGGCATTACTCAGCCTCACCACCGTGCGGTTAAAACCGGTAGAGGGGCTGAGATAATCCGCCCGCGCCCTTCTCTCATGTCGAATTAATATATATATATATATATAGATATAGAGATATAGATATGCATATATATATGTATATCTAGTACTTGAATTAAAGGTAAATCAAATTGTAGGTGTAATACGTACGTCCTCTTCTCGTTTTCAGTACTTACAGTAACGCGCGTGTGAGAGTGACAAGTACAACACGGACATATGAGCGGACAATACTCGCAACAATATTGTACAATGGATCTGATTGGAATTGCTTTTTCCAGAGACTCTGGAAATAGAACTGTAGTTACGTTGACATTAGTGGATCTGCATATCAGCATAATTCTCGTTCGAGCGAGTGACGTTAGTATTTTTCATCTCTTTTTTTTTTTTTTCTCATTTTTGCTCTCTAAACCCGTTTTTCCATTTTACCGTTTCTCATTATCGGATTCCTATCGCGGGACCTTTAGGGGTGTTTGCTATCTTTCGCTGTCACATTGGCTTCCCAATTCTCACTACCGACTCAGCCATCTCCACTGTTCGCTTGTGATTCAAAGAGATTATGAAACCAATATTTTTACATTAATATGAAACGTAACCCAATATGAAAAGAGATTTAAACTTGAGATTTAAAAGTTATCGCATGTTAAAAGAAAAAACTGTGTTAAAAATTGTATTGGAGAAGACACTGAAAAGAGAATAAATGCCATACTCATATTTTTCTTATTCAGGCTACGTATTTTTACATTTATGAAGAATACAATTAAGATCCTTATTTGAAGAGGAATAAATGCAAAAAAACAGATCTTTTTAAAATTAATTGGAATACAAAAGTTGTCATCCACTCTGAAAGCAAAAAGAACGTATTAATCAGAGATGATAAATCTTCTCTCCGAAACGAAATTAATTACAAACTGAAACTTCGTTACTTCAGTGAATAAAGTCTTCTGCGAACAAGTGCCTTCTGAGCATCAATCAATGACAACAACAGGTTCTCGAAATCTACATAATCACGGATATTTATACACAAATATCTGTGGATGACTTTGAGAGCTGACTGCTTAAAGATTAAAAATCTCGACTCGAAAGTGTTTCACGAGTAAGAAACTTTCCTGCATAAGTAGCCGTTTGAGCGGAGCAAGATGAGAGGAGGGGCTCTTCAAGTGCCCGTAGCGATGGCTATAATACGCGGAGAAACAGTTTGACACGATTGCGCCAGACAGCGCGGATGCGCGTCCACAGCCGGAGCATCGATTTTGCTGTAGAACTCGAGAACCCGCGGAACCCAATGATAGCAGTTCAGACAGTTATATGAAGGTTAGAGTTATATATCGCGAGCACGAGCGAAGTAGCAAACACCCCTGTGACCAATTCGCACAAGATGACACTGAAATGCGCGAAGCAGTGCTGAAGCACGTTGCATAACTCTCAATAATAATTAACTCCCATTAATCAAAAATATTGCTCGATCGACCACGTATATGCAGGATATTACATCTTTATCCGCAGCCACAGTTGTCTGCGCTGATCTCACTGCGATGGGGGTTGCAGTATTCTCAGTACAGTCATGTTAGATGTATATAGAAAATGGTTCTGCGAACTAGAACAAGCAACGCTGCTCTGCGGCTTGAATGAAAGACGAGGTGGAACTTTTTTTTCCCAAAACGTACGACATTTCTCCCCTTGGTCCTGTCCTTCAAGCCGCACAAAGTACATTGGCTGTTCTAAGTCCAGAGATGTGTACAATGGTATAAGAAAATGCCTGCCCCGTGTTGCACTTCGACGGTATCCAGTGTGAATTGATCGCAATCAATTCCTGAGGTACGTGTCGGATAAATCAAGCGAAACGCTTTCCTGCGGGCGCTCATTAAATTCGCATGTTTTACAAAAAAAAATTGACAGACGATGTTCTTACGATCTAAAGGATTCTTAACGCATACGATACTGAGCACACCGATTGGCACAGGTGAAAAGAAAAAGCGCTACTTGAATGCCGCACAAATCTATCTTACCATGGATCTAGTCTATTCTATAGTCTACAGAAACTTTATCGCGTGTTCTCCGCATTTTGCGGAAATGTGCAGCAACGTTTCAATAATGTATATTAATATACTTTTATCGCGTGAGAAACGATAGCAATACGCATTTAAATGCCCTTCAGCTTTCTACGTGTACGAAATAGCTAACCAGCGTATTCCATGTATTTTCTACTTAATTTTAGATAAGATATACTTCTGCACAAAAAGAAATGTGAAGATATGTTAATCGTGTAACGTGTATAATATAACGGTGCTAAAGAAGTCTGTGTGCACTTCGATTTTATGACTCCGGCAACGAAATACAGATGTGGACTTCCATTATCAATTTCATACACTTTATGTCCATTAAAATTGATTTTATCACGGTCTGATTTAGATTGAAATAGCGCGATATATATTACATCAAAAGAAATGAGACCAGTTAGTGAGAGACGATACAACGAATCGGTAAATGAATTTGAAAATTGTATTATGAAATATATAATTAAAAATCATATAATAAATTTAATTTGAAAAAATTGACTTTAATTTTGTAGAGAAAATTATTTTATTCTACTTTTGTGTCGTGAAAAAATATTTGCCTATATTACGTGTTACATTACATTTCGATACCTTAAATTCGAAACTTCGTATCTCGAATTTTTTACCAATTTCACTTTTTCTTGTGATAGAATCTTTGAAGCTCTGTCGATTGGAAGAAAATTAAAAATGTAACCGGAAATGCCATCTATTGAGCTATAAAATCTATTAAATTCAAAGTTTGACAAATTAATCAAAATATGTTATAAATAAACAGTTTTTAATGTCTTCTGTAAAATTTGAATTATTTTAGTTACAAGGTTTTGAGTTTAAGATATCGAGTTATGTAATTAAACTTCTACTATTTGTATTGCATTTATATTTTTACACACAAACTGTTTAACAGCCATTATACTTAACTATAGTTGTGTATGCACATATGCAAAAAAAAAGAAATAACGAAATAACTAAATATTTAACTATTCATATATTACATATATGTAAGAATATTATTATGGTTACACAATTCCATATGTTATATTTCATATTAATCTCATCAATGTTTGATAATTAACAACATTAACATTAATTTCATGAATAAGCAAGAATGCAAAATATAAGTGATTCTAATTTTTTAAGGCATTGTACATTTAATGTAAAAACTAATTAAATTCAAATCTTTGAGTAATTGCACTTTTTGCTGTTTTGTGCTATTACACAATAATTTTATTAGTTATATTAAAATAGTTCAAAATAGGATAACAGATTGAGCAACGTAATCGTGTAACCAAAATCCAGTATTAGTTTACAAAATAGAATAAATAAAAAGAGAAAATCAAATATAGCTTTTACTTTCTCTTTTTACACTGCAATTAAAAAATACCAGAATAAATACTATATGTATATATACGCATATATATACAGGGTGCATTATTCTTTGCGCACAAGTGCCAATGGTGTGTCATTCGTGTTTAGAATTGGTACATTACGGACTATACTCACCGTCGACGAGAGAATTTCATGAGGACAGCAGGCCAGCAAAAAACTCTTGCAGACCTTCGGATCGGAGTATTTCACTTGAAATTTGTTATTTTCACCTGAAAATAGGCCGGATCATCAGTAACGGTGCGATACAGAAGAAAAATATATAGGGTAGCACTATCATAACTAACAAATATGGCTGCAGTTGACCATCTTGTATTATCAATTGACCTGACACGGAAATCACTGCGGCTTTTGATAATGCGTATTGGGTAGGAAAAGCGAATAGATGTACGTACCGTTTCGTCCTGTGCCCATCAACTGGTCGAGCATCGCTCGCATTTGATCGTGCGCCGTCATTTTTGCGACGCAACCTCTCACAGATTCACCGACAGAACGGATCCAAATGTATCCTTGAACGACCACGCCGTCCGATTATACAGCTCGAATTTGGAGTAATCGCTGCGCCGTGTTTATCGACTGTGGCGCTGCGCGTCACTGCCAAACCGCGTTTCCATGAACGCTAATGAAATTGTCCAATACACTGATTGGCTGTTGACTAGAGACTTTTAGTGCTATGGTCATCATGAGTTCTTTCAGCAACCAATGCAATCATCCGGCGAGTACGATGAAAATAATCACGTAAATATCATTTTGATTAATTACCAGGAACTGACGTCACGAACATCCGTCACTTCTTGAACGATGCATCCGCCATTTTATTAATTAGAAATGGCAAATAATTTTTAATGAATGTTACAAATAGATTGTCAGGTTGTAAATCTGATTCTTACAATTTTTGTCGCTTGCAAAATTGAAACATTATTTCTTTACATAAATCATCGGAAATAAAAATGGTTTTTTAAAAGAAAAGATGTCTTCTATGTGGTAGGTATTTATTATTCTAATATAAAAAAAGTAGATATAATAAAAATAAATGTTAGACTTATAGCCTTGTCAAAAGCTTGATAATCATACCGATAAGGAAGGAGAGAGAGTACCAGGATTTACGCCGACAAAGTTCCAACGGTATTTAAACCAAGGGGTGCTCAGCGGGTTCCACTCAGCTTCCAGAGTGCAATGACCGGCAGCCACAAGAGGTTAGATCTATCAAATTATACATCTCTACGTACAATATTCTGTACACCCAAAGTTATCTAATTTTTTTCAAATATTGATATCATAAGATTATCAACAAATACAAATTTTTCTTTAAATTATCAATTTTTTAAATAATAATCATAAACTCAAAAATTGAAAATATATAATTTTCTCTATAATCTTTGTATTTAATATATATTTTAGCAAGAAATTGATTAGTAATAATAAACACTATAATAAGTTTAATTGTTTTGTTACCAATATGAATGCCAATAAATAGCGAAATGTACATTTCTTTCACAATATTGCCATATTACATAGGTCTTAGCAATTGCCCTTTGGTTAATTAACTAAATTTGACTGCAGATTTTACGTTGACAAAGGAAATGCACAATAGTTTCCGAAAATTTCTCAAGCTGAGCCTAGCCGTGCGCAGAAACCGCATGCAGAGAAGAGAGATGTGCAACCAGTAGCGAAGGTGGTGGCGATGATGATGCCAGTGGTGGAGGGACCCCGGGACTCCGCGTTCGATCGTGACCCGAGAGCGAGCGAGCAAACGTAAAAGTGAGACCGAGGGATTAACTGACGCGGGGGAGGAGGAAGAACCTCGGTGCAGCGTGCAGGAGCGAGGCGGCGAGAGGAACAGCGAGGACCAAGAAGTAGTAGGTGGACGATGAAGAGAAGGAGAAAAAGAAGAAGGAGGAGGTGGTGGTAGCGATGCTGGTGGTGGTAGGAGAACAGCCTCCGCCAGTCCATCCACGTGTTCAGTGTAGTAGCGCGTTATGACCCGGATGTTAGATTGTAACCGCAGTTTCGCGAGAACCTGCCGACCCGGATGTCCTCCCGCTCCGCTGTCCACCGGTGATCGACCGCTGATGTCTTCCTGGCCACCGAAATATGTTCAATCGGTAAGTTACTGCCGCGGTACCAGCATCCTCGTCGTCGTCGCGGGAGCTGTCACTTCGGCGAGGACCACCCGCTCCGAATATAGAATGTGTCGTGTAAAAAAATTAGAGTTTCTTTGCAATATCTTTCGATTAAACTAATATGACATTAACGATTTGAAAACTTACTTAAATAGAAAACCGATTGCTGTCCCTTTCGCGGCGATTCGGGGGTAAGTTCACCCTCGCGATTGTCTGGATACATAGCGGGTGTCTTGGAGGATTCAGAGCGCCTCTCGCCGAAGTATGTATGTTGATGTGTAATATTGAAGTGGACAGTGATTGCTATATTCGCGGCTTTTTCGCGTTTACGGAGATCAGATCTGCGAAAACGCGTCATACGGCGTGACACGCACCACGTGTCGCATACGCGTGCGGCACAGCAGTACACAACAGTAACGTCAGCGTGTGTTTGAAGGATAGATGCGAGCAAGTCGACGAAAGGCGCCAGCAAACTTCGAAGGGACTTGATAAACGCCGAAATCGCGAATTTACGTGACTTATTGCCGTTACCGCCCTCGACACGCCAGAGGCTTTCCCAGCTACAGCTTATGGCCTTGGTCTGTGTGTTCCTGCGAAAAGCCAACTACTTTCAACAAGGTATGTGAACGGAGAATTTGCATGTGCTTAAATATTAAAGAGATTCTTCTGTTCTTTTCAAGCAGCAAGCAAATTTCCTTTTAGACCTGCAAGTGAAAAATCAGTTAAAGATCCAGCTTGAAATATTGCAAATAAAATATGATTTTTTTGATTGAGAATTTGTAAAGTTCTAAGCTGCAATTGACATTAATTAGTAGCCAATTGTTGAATATTATATATAATTTCCTTAAATCGTGTATGCATACAAAGTGAAAGTAAAATAAATGATTAACAATGATATTTTCATTGTCGAGAGTTTTCAAAATTCTAAGCTGCAAATGGCTGAAATATTAGTAGCCAATTATTGAAAGTTACATACAATTTTCTTAAACTGTCTGCAAGCAAAGTAAAATTAAAATAAATTATTAATGATAATTATGTAAGAATGTAGTAAACACTGACAGTAGCCTAACATATTCTTGTTTGCCAACATTTATAAATACAGACAATTTCGCATGAGCAATTAGCATTAGTCTAACAGCTCAATATTCTTATGTAATAAATAATTATGGATTTTTGCAATTCATTGCATCTGATTTACATTATATTATTAATATTAGAATAGACGTAGCTATCAGCATGGAATTAACAAAATAGCTTCTTAAATACTGGTTGATACAAATTTGATAATGACGATTATCATTGCTATTATTATTATCGAGAGTTATTGCGTTACTCGAAAATCTGACATTGTTCGATCACATTTGCGTTTGAGGAAACTGTCTCACGGGTGATATGATACACGCGTAAGTTATGTTCCACCGTGTTACAGCTTGTTGTCCATAAAATAAGGCACGGCAATAGGCGATAAAGCGAGCCCATCGCTATTGCGATTACTATATCTTTACTGTAATTCATATCCATCGGTCGAGACTTCAATGCCGGCAAGCGCCCGTGCCATGCAATTCCCCGCGTTCGTACTCTGATATTTCAGAGAGCACATTGCTGCTCGACGTGCTCTTTACTCATAACGTAATGATCGGGACACGTTGTAGAGACTGTAGTCAAGCATAATTGGCATTCCAATAGCCGAATTATTATGCATATTGCGGTAATTATTAATAAATATCTACAGCATTTAAAAGCACTCTTAAATCTCTTCATAAAATACAACTCGACGAACCAAGTAAAATGTAGTAAATTTTATGATCATTATTAGTAACAATATCTATCCAGCTTGTTACTTCGATAAGAGTAGCAGATCGATGAAAAATCAATACAATTATACAGTACAAAGTAAAATCTGTGTTAAATAATTTCGATAAATGCGATGCATAAAAGAAAGCGTAGTTGAAGTTGTTAAATATTATTGCGAAAGATAATTTTCAAGATAATTTCCGCGAAAAAGAGAGCTTGATGAGAAATGATTAATCATCGATCAAAAGCTGAAGAGTTGATCTAAAGGTAGAAATAATTAGAGCGTTGTGAATTATTGATGCTTTATGATTATTATTTTATTCCTTCAATTTGCATTCTCGATCGTTACTGACGGAAGTTTTGGTTTTGCAGCAATGAGTAAGAGAGAAATATGTTAGCAGTTACAAAATGTAGCCGTTTGATTCTGAACTCGATCTGCCTGTGAAGAATATTTGATCGGAGGATTCCTCGTGTCACCCTTGTGCCATCTCAATTGAACGCTGAAATTTGAAAAACTGCCCGCGACTTCTTTCCGCGTTTCCGCGGCAATCATCGAGATCCCTCCTCGCTTCGTAATCGGCTGGAGCTGAACCGCTCGAGCAATCCGCGCAAAGGAGAATTTCTATTCGCGGGAGTCTATCGGGTAACCCGGCTGAAAAGCTTCGTCTCGTAGACGTGGGGAGAGACGGCGGGGAACGCGGCATCCCGGTGGGTACCGACAGCGAGAGGGACTTGCGAGAGAGCAGGAGAGCCGCGGAGAGGAGAGGAGAGGAGAGACGGGGGCGAGGCGAGCGCAAAGCAAAGCGAAGCGAAGCGATGCAAGAAGGCAAGATCGGCCGGCGCGCGTTCAAACTCAGCGGAGTCTAAGCGCGAGTTCCGGGTGATCCGCTGACCTGTCGGCCTTTGCAACAACACTCTCACGCTCCTGTAACCCACACTCCTCCTCCCCGCATCGCGTCCCCACGCTCACTCCGTCTCGCTCCTGCTCGCCGTCGTGGTCCTTCTCTGCGCGCCGCGCTGCGCCTCTCTCAGCCTCCCTTCTTCTCTCGCGTTCTTCTCCGTTCTCCTCTCCCTTCGCCCCTCAACCCCCCCGATTCCCCTATCCATCCCCCTTTCTCTAGCTGTCTCTCCTTCTCTCTCTCGCGCTCATTGTCTCGCGGTATATCGGATACTATGGTCCCGTGTAGCGGCCGTTAGTAAACGCTGCCGTACACCGCATTAGCATACGCATTTTTCTTTACCCTTTCCCCTCCCCCATCGTGTCCGCGGCGCATACCTTTTTCCCCTTTACTTTTTCGGGGAACCCTCCGAGCGAGGAGGGTGGCGAGCGCGCTGGCGATCGCGCGAAAAAGCACGAGACCGAAACGGATGTCTCTCTTTCTCTTCTCTTGGTCCGTTGGAAGAAGAGCGCGTGCCCTGGCACTATCGCACGCGATTAAGACTCCAGGCACAATGCAGCGAAGAATAGCGTGCGCAAAATCAATCATAAAATTGCGCTTTATTGGAAATATTCAATTGAATTAGCATTGTTCTGCGTCAACATTTTCATATCAGATCGGATAATATTTTCCGTTATTCATTTTGTTCTCAGAGGACTTGCTTCTATGTTTTCTCAGATTTGCGCATAATTCGCGCATATTTCCAGAATGTCGATTAGGCAAACAGTTGAAAATAGCTATTTTACAGCCGCGATAGAGCGGCGAGCTTATCGAATGTGTTTGCACGTTTTCGCGCTACGCGAAATAAAAAAGAAATAACGATTCCGATCTATCGCAACCTCGCCGGCAATAAACTCACACCGATACGTATTGATAGCGATTTATTTTTCCTTTCTGTATCATACAATATACTGCATTGTTTTTTTAACAAATACGACCAACAATGGTATGTGCAATGTTAATTTAGTTTTTCTTTTTCAGAGAAATCGTTATTTAAAATATTATTTTGATCCTTTTACTTTTGTTTTCGTTTCAGCGCTGAAGAATTGTCCGTCCGACTCGAATATTCCAACACCCAATATAGGGTTTTCGAAAGTAATTACTTTTCTTTATTTACGTTTATTCGTACACAATTATTTTCAATTATTATTATGCAATGTTTTACTTACTTATTATTTACCGCAAACTCTTGGGATACAGCTTAGACGTTTTTTCCAGGCGATGTCCGGCTTTATCATGATGATGACGCAGCAGGGAAAATTGTTGTACATATCAGAAAATGCGGCGGACTATCTCGGGCATTCCATGGTAATATAATTCCGTTGATAATGTAACGCGAATAATAGCATTGAAAATTTGCATTGAAAAGACGAATGTTTTTCGGAACAAATCGTGATAAGGTAAAGGATTTTCAGGAAGATCTACTTATTCATGGGGACAGCGTGTACGACGTGATCGACAAGCAGGATCACATGGTGGTGCAAAATCAGTTATCCAGAAACAGTCCAATTCCTAGTGACAGGAGGCTGTTTTTGTGTCGAATCAACGTGTCGAGAAATTCTCGCAGGCAGCTACGATTCGGCGATCAGAAGGTGATTAAAGTCAACCGTCGTTTATTTTAAGATTACTTTTTTTTTCTTTCGCGCGCGCGCGCGAAATTACCGCGTTATTCGCCTCTGTCCGCAGGTAGTCCTTGTGGAGGGCCACTTTCTGCCGTTCGTTCCTGTGTGCAACCGCAATGAGTTCGTTTTTCTGGCCTCTTGCACACCGGTGGTTCTGCCGGAGACTCGAGAAAGCATAGTTCAAGGCGCGACAAATATTTTCACCACGATCCACTCAATGGACATGAAGTACCTGCATATTGATAAAACGTAATTCGACGTCAGTTAATGAAGATTAGACGGTCCGTGAAGTTGCATTTTACCAGGGAAATTCTATTTCCTTTTCGCAGCGCCGAAAGCCATCTCGAGTATTCTCGCGGCGAGCTGGTCAACGTGTCGTGGTACAATCTGCTCCACTGGGACTCCATAAGAACTGCTTATTGCAAGCATCAGACCGGTAAGTATATACTATAAAAGTATGGTATGAAAAATTCTTTCCGTAAATAAAGAACCTTTCGTTGCATCTAATCTTCGTGTAACTTTTGCGAGCAGTTGTAATGATGCTTAAAAAATGTTTTTTCGTTAGTATTTTTATCTATTTTTTCTCAATTTTCGCCACTTTATTTTTGGTTCTAGTTATTCAGTCCGATCAGGAGCGATCGACTACCGCTCTGTTGAAACTGCAAAGCCGCTCAGGGAGGTGGTTCTGGGTCCATTGCGTGCTGCAGGTCAAGGACACCTCTGATGAGTGTCAGCATCCTATTATCGTTTGCACGAACCAAGTGCTCACGTACGTTCACGATTGTTTGATTATCGTTCTTAATTTAATATTTGTTTAATAAATAGATATTACACATTTAACGTTTATTAAATTCAAATTTAATATCTGTTAATTAATATAAAATTTAATATCTGTAAATTGAAATAAAATTTAATATCCATTAACTAAAATTAGATGCAGCGCCTGTATAATTAATTAGTAACATAATTTTAATCATATTGTTTCAAATGCACATTATATATAATAATTACAGTGATAAGGAAGCGGAAGTGATGCGCTCCAGCTCGTGGCTGTATCAGTACTCCTCTCAAACGAAATTCACGTACGGACTCTGCCCGCAAAGCCGCGGCGTTGTATATCCTTCCGCAGGATCCGCTACTAATCAGTCCCAGGAATACGTTCAGACATATTCCAACGACACCGACGCGCAGCATTCGCCGTCTTTGCGTCCGGATCGGTCCGAAACGGAAACGCACGGCGCCTCGAAGACCACGCAGTCGATGGATTACCCGGGCAGACGTCTTCTACGAGACGACGCGGAGCCAGTGGATATGTCGATAAGCGGCGCGGACCAGCACGAAGGCAGGGCCGTGCAGGTCACCGGTCATCAGCAGCAGCAACAACACACCCTGGACGAGCAAATCAGGTACAATCACAAACAATATCATAAAAGCTCGCTGCATCTAGCCGGTTATCGGGCCAAGTTCGTGCAGTGCCATGCTGGCGCGCAGTACACCAGCGGATGCACGGACGCTGTACTGTCGGCCAAGTACTACCTTACCGACCTCGATCGTGACTACTGCTGCGGCCCAGAGCGGAGCCCCGGGCTACTTCTTCACAAGCGGCTGCCGACGAAGGCGTTGATCGCGCCGCCGCCCTCCGTCGCCACCGGCGTAGGCGAGCAACCACTGCTGCCGGATGCCGCGCCTCTCGAGAGCTGGGGCGCCAGCCCGGCGTGGTCGGACGCGCTACAAAGGGTGCCGGACGTGGTCCATCAGGAGCTGAGCCCGTACATCACCACGCCGACCACGCCGGTCAACACGCCCGACTCGGATACGCTCGGCCATCCGGAGGCGCCCATTTTCAACTTCGACTGGGCCGGCACCGAGCAGCACGTGCCGAACCTGAAAATTACCTTCCATCGCGGCGTCTCGACCTCCACCGCCGGCCACTCCGTTGTCGCGCAACCCAGGAAGCAGCACCAAGACACGGTGCAACCTATTACGCTACAGTTACCACGTAGAAAGGGACAGTCCGCGGAAAGCGATAGCAAGGATTTCGCCAAGTGAAACTTACGGTAAAAGCCACGTGCGAAACGCATGTGGAGGGGGGGGGGGCGGTCGCTAATAAATTTAAATATTTATGTAAGGATCTAGAAAATGTTAGAAAGAATAGGATATGTAAAGAGTTGCCCGAGAGGGTCCGAGGTCGATCGAGAGGATCAAAAGAGGTATTTGGACAATGTTAGGCCCCGGCGCATAATAAAAAAAATATTAGGAATAGGAATAAATATTTACAATTTTTTTATAAATTTAAAGTAAACCGATTTTACGAACTAAACATTGACTTTTCTGCAGACGAAACAGCAACGGTTTTAAATGTTACGGTTGTAAATATATATAAGTTTTATATTAAGTATTCCACACATTCCCAATATTAAATATTTATTCTTATTCCCAACATTTTTTTTCTATTATGTGCAGGGCCTTAAACTTGCAACATGCCTTTTGTCACAGACAACGGAGTATATTCTTCCAAATTCTATCGGTATCGCGTTACACAATTTTCTACACGCTCGTTCGTTTTTTTTTTTTTGTTCTTTTTCTTTAGCTTCTCCACCTCTCTTCTTTGGCGTCTTATATATTACTCTCGAATATCGTAAATTTCTCATTAATATAAAACACGTATATAAACATAGACTGATTACATCGGTGTTTACAATAATCTACGATTAAAAAAAGTCGTACATCGTTTCGTTTATCTTCGGTATACGCTTTTTATGCGAAAACATTCGTTTTTGAGATAAATAGCACGCATCGTACGCGTATATTCCAAGTGTATATATATTTATATATATATATTATATATAACTATGTATGAGTGTGCAGTGTCGTAAGAGGGTACCCAGGTACATGCGCTATATATGTTTGAGATTTCCTTTGAAAAATACCTAAATCTTACGTTTAACACACGATGAAATATTCGCTTTGTACATTTTTAATGCATTCGACGAAGGAAATGTATTCTTTTTCCTCTTTTTTTTTTCTCTCTTCTTTCTTCTTGCGCAACGTGTGTGTTGTGTGTTACATTACGTCTCGACGTGATACTACGGAAATAGGTAAATAAAGAGAGGCAGTTAATCGTTATATAGCATAGTAGCGGCTTTTTCGTCTTGTCGCGTTTTAGCATTGTTAAACAATTCCGCGCTATCGACATCTCGATTGGAAGCCAACGCAGAGGTCGACCGCGCGTAAATATGTAATTTAATCCGCGACTAACACGCTCTTCTCCACACGTGCCTTACGTTTATGGATCTTTTATAATAAATATGAAAATAAACGTTGTGTGCGCGCAGAGTGTATCTCCATTGCAGAGTCGAACTTTGAAGATATGTTCTGGTGCTGGAATAAATAAATAAAGAGTTTATACATATAGGTATAGGCGGGGAAATGCTTCTTTGCTTCGGACATGAAAGGATAAAACTCCTCTTTTCGCAAGTAGAATCTTAAGATAGGACGCGTAGTTCTAGAATATATCCCCAAAGTTACGCCGTAACTGACACACTGTCACCTTACACTCTCCTTTCTAAGAAATGTAAACTCTTATATAACAAAATAGTCACACTCACTCCGTGCTTCATGCAACAATATAAATTCTTGCCATACTGATTGCCATATGAATAGTCTTACTTTACCGTTTTACTTTCCAACGAATGTAATGAATTTTATTTGTACCGAAAGCAAAGCGAATTCTACGATCAATCCCCTCTGTGCGTCCGTTTTTTTTTTTTTTTTTAAATAAGTATTTTCAACAGTTTGACACATCGCTCCTCGAAAAAAAAAACAATCGAATGCTCTTAATATTTTCGCAAGTGTGTAGATCCATAAATTCCCGATTTCATGCCAGTTGCGTGAAAATATCGAAGTCTTAAAAACGTTAGTTGCGTCAAGCGTTGTCGCAATAATTCCCTTCGAGTTTTACCCGTTTCGGTGCTTTCGCTCTCGGAATCGCGAATTCGACAAATGCGCTATGTAAGCCTAACGGAATCTTTCGCGAGACGTTTGCGCATCTCGGCGTCGCTTTCGCGCTATGAAAAAATACAACGAAACCGCCGAGTGTCGTCGTATTCTTACGTCTCGTAGCACTCATACGCACCGTCGCGCCTTGCGTTCGACGCGACTCGCTAAAATTTACGCCACACAAGATTGAATCGCGCGAGATCGACTATGAAGGTAAAAAAATATCACCGAGCCCTACGCGCTATTCCTTTTCCGTCGTGTATGTTGGCGGCGTGACCGCGCTCAAAAAGTGCCGAAAGACGCGAGAAATTAGACTGAATTGTACGTTTTTTTTTTTTTCTTTCCTTATGCGTGAGATTGCTTTTCACTAAAGACTTACATTAACAAACAATAATTTTATTTATAATATCTATTCTTATAATAATAAATTATTTATAATATCTTAATTATTATCAGAAGCCTTTTTTTTTTTTTAAATTCTTTAACACACACAAGTTCTTCCACAAGGGAGGGAAAATATTTTGAAGTCTGTTATCATTGAAAAACATTATGATACATCGACAATTATGATTCTTCGCAATATCGCTGGAAAACGGATACCGCGATCTAATCAGTGTAATTGCTCGCGTAACGGCCGCCAAATCCCCCGGTCAGCGCAAATCCCCGTATCAAAAGTACCCCGAATAATGGATCGAAATCATATACGTCCGTCTAATTGTACTCGTTAATTACGCTGCCGATACGTAACGATCGTCGTGTCCACCCGACGATGTACCCAGGTTCATTCGTGATCAACGTTTACCGCCGCCGAGTTTCCCTCGTCGATTTACATGTACAGGGTGTGCGGAAAAAGAAAAGGTCGCACCGGTCTCCCGTCTCCGCGAATTTCGCCGTGCACGATTTCACGAGGAGCGAGCGAGTGATTTTCGACGATACACATCCCGCAGATGTATCCCCACGAGTACTCGTCGCGACACTGCACCGTGTATATGTGTATGTTGATCGCGCGAGAGTGCGTGTTTCAGTGTGCGTGGGTATTTTGTACAAGGTACAAGCGCACGCGTGCCGACGCGTGCATAGGAACGTCGCCGCCACGCTCGGGCAGCGATTTATGTTTCTTCGCTTTGTGTGTACCAATTAGTGAATTGTACAATAATTACGCGAAAGTAGAGACGATAGAATATTTTCACACTCTTCTCGGGATGTCAAAATGTAGTTTTAAAAATAGAAAACGGCGGAGGGGTGTGGGGGGGGGGTTGTAGATCAGTTTGAACTGTGCGATTAATTCCAACTAACACTTACGGGAACATGTACGGTCTATAAAAAATAAATTGTACAAGAGTAACGAAGTAGAGAGATCTACATGAACAATCGTATCCCTTTCTACCGTACGGCGGTGGGAGACTTAATTCGGTGAAGTTAATGAAAGAGAAAATGAAAGAGTTCGCAGTCTTGAGGTCACTATAGGCATGTCGGCGCGCGTACGATTGACTTTGATTACTTTTACGAGACCTCGATCGCTAAAAGTCGTGTATCGCTCGACACAGTGCTTTTATTTTATCTGTTTTATTTTATTTCTCATTTTCTTTTTATATTAACTATATATATTTCTTCAATATCGTTTTCTCAAATAGCCTCGAAAGTGCGCTACGACGTTCCTCTCCCCTGTGACGCACCTCCTTCGCCTCTCTCCTTCTCTGTCGCCGTATAATCTTGGTATAATCTTTTAAAGCTTCGTTTGGCACATATAATTAGAATGTTATTTTAGTTTCACGGAAGAATTCGATTTAGCGTTAATCCTTCTCTCTTTCTCTCTCTCTCTCTTTTCTCTCTCTCTCTCTCTCTCTCTCTCTCTCTCTCTCTCTCTCTCTCTCTCTCTCTCTCTCTCTCTCTCTCTCTCTCTCTCTCTCTCTCTCTCTCTTTCTCTCTCGCTTTTCCTAATCGCTAATTATCCTCCCGCACTCCGCTTGGCCACATCATCGAATCCCTCCCTTCCTCCCTCCTCAAACTCCCCACCCAGCATTATTACATTTAAACACATTCATTTACAGTTTTACACTTCGCTACGTCGTAAAATTTACATCGAGTGTTTACATCGCCCGTCGCGCGAAACCCGCGCGACGCACAGAGATTATCGTTAATCTTTTCAAAATCTTTTTTTTTTCTTTTTTTTTCTCTTTTTTTTTTTCTTTACTTAAGTAGGTTCTTGTGCGGCATAGCTTTTTTTTCTTCGTCTATTATCCCCCGCTGCACCTCGCCGCCGCCGTCGTCGCTTCCTTCCCGTCTCTCTATCTCGGGGAGGGAAGCGCTTCTGGTTTGCAGCGCGCGGCGCTCTCGACGCGACGGCGATCACAGCGGGGAAACGCGTAATACAATTCCGAAGGCGCGCGAATCGCAGTTTGCGCGACTCGGAGAGATATTAATGAACGTTATATTCATGGCAGTATCCACGTCGCGTTACCTCTCGCGAAACTCGGAGACCGGAGCTGCGCGCGTCTTGACTAGTGGCGTCTCGACGGCCGGCCCGCGCCTTTCTCGTCCGCGACGCGAACGGACCCGTGTTCCTTCACGCTCCGGTTGTCGCGCGATTTTCCGATTTTCCGTCAGTCATGGTAACCGATATAGCTCCTAGACGATATCTGTCATTGGATATTCACGACGCGATGTCAATTATGCCCATATTACATATCCAAAACGGAGAGAATCCCGATAATAATGTCTCACTCGAGCTGAGAACCTTCGGGTTTTCGAAGAGGTCCGCGACCCAAAAAAGGTGAAGAACCACTGTCGCATTAAAAATTCACGCGCCTCGATATAGACAATCGATATCGGTCCCGCCAGTGTGAAATTGCCTGGAAATGTTACGGACAACAAACAAACTGTTTCTCTACACTTACACATAGCAAGGGATTCGTTCGCGCCGCTGAGTGTCGTATCGTTAACCCCCCGACAAGGATACATTAGTCACTTTTTTTCTACGTTTTAACGGACACCAATATAATTACAAAGTAATAGAATTGTATTAGAGAGAGAGCGTTAAACTCCGACGTCGACGAATAACCAAATTACCAACTAATTACCAACGATTAATTAAGCTTTATTGAAAAACGCGCCTGATCGCTCGGCGCAGAAACGACGCGGTCGTCAAGGGGTTAATCTCTCATCTTGGTAATTCGAAAACCACTCAAGAGAGACGCACCCGGTGTCCTTTTTTTTTCTTTTTTTTCTTTCGCGTAGCAAAGGCACGAGCGGCCGATCGGATATTTGTTGCTGTCGTCGCGCGCGGTCCAGCGATCAGGACCGGAAAGGACGCGCGGCCCGAATAATCGGATGCTCATACGATGAACGATATATCGATAGGAACAGGGCGGTTCGGCGCTCGCGTTCGCCGAACCCGTTCGCGGCAGTCGCCGGTCTCCTCGCTTCCGTTTCTTCGTGCGCTCCGAGAAACGCGTGAAAAGGAGGAAAAATGAACGACGACATAGCAATAATAATGATAATAGTAATAAAAGTAATAAGAATGCAGCGTTGCTTCGGTGTATACGTGTGTGAGTGTACGTATCTGTGCGCGTGTGTGGCGCGAGCGCGGTCGTTGACTCCCAATTCTGCGAGAGCCGCGGATATCGGGAGTGCAATCGAGATGGGGTAGGGCCGATGCGAAAAGATCGTGGGCACGCATCGCCGGTTACTGATATCATCCCCGGTCGACCGCGCCGCCGCGGTTCCTGCTGTGCCACTTACACTTGAGAATCCTCACGTAGGTTCTGCGGAAGGTCGCGTTGCACAGCGCGTAGCACATCGGATTCACAGTACTGTTGATGTAGCAAAGGTAATAAAAAAAGTCCCACAGCTCCTGCGGTATGTACCACGAGCAGGCGGTGATGGACTTGAGGAGCACCAGGATGTTGTACGGGGTCCACGTGATGATGAACGCCAGCAGGATCGCCGAGAGCGTCTTCGCGGCCTTCCGGTCGGCCTTCTTCTCCTGTATCTTCTTCTTCTTCTTGTTCGGCTGCTTGTTCAGTATGCCCTTGCCCGCCGTCAGCGTCTTCGGTATGTTCTTCGCGTTCAACGGTATCCGGATGTCCGGCATTTGCGACGGCCGTCTTATCACCGCGGACGGGCTCGGCCCGCCGCTGCTGCCGGGGCCGACGCCGAGACGATAGACCTTGCCGGCGCTACTGCCGCCGATGCTGCTGCCGCCGCCGCCGCCGCCGCCGCCGCCGCCGCCGCCGCCTATGCTGCTACTGCCGCCGTCGTCCTCGCTGTCTTCTATCATGCTGTGGAGCTGCATCGACACGGGCTCGTCGTGGATCATCTTTATGCTCGCCCCCTCGCTGTACTTGCCGCCGTTGCTCGGCAATTTGATCAGAATCGTATAAACCTGCAAGCGGAGGAGAGACACCCGTAGTGTCGATCTTCGAGCGATCTTCATCGATCAATTTAATCAAAGATAGTGATGATAATTTTCATTCAAGCTTAATATTAATTGTTCGTTTGCTTGTTGAAATATATTTCTTTGGGTTAATTTTGAAAATGTTAAGGAGCGTCTGACGTACGGAATCGCTGGAGATAGTCTTGTGATCGACCGATCGCATCGGTCTTTTGTACTCGTGCTGCGCCGCGGCTTTGTCCAGGGCGAGTCCCGTGGCCTGTATCGCGCTGAGGGAGGGACACCGCGATACCGTGCTGGGAAGTGGCGTCTCGGCCGACAACGGTGTGAGTGTCTCCTCGTAGCCCGTAACTCCGGTGCGGCTGCTCTCTGGCCCCGCGATCTCCTCGTCGTCGTCCTCGTCGTCGCGTCCGCTATGCCACCACGCGATGCACCACATCTTCAGCCAGGTCCAGGAGAACGGCCTGTGCTGCTCGCGGCGGAAAAAACGGGAAAGATGAGATTAGTCGAATAGTCGCGATCAATTTAACTTCGCACATGATACGTAATTTTTTTTAATTCTTTAAAATCACAATAAAAATTCAAGACAAGATTTGCACAAATGCATTCATAAATTATAATATAAATACAAAATAATTATAAAAATGTGAAAAAAAAATTTACAAATTCTACGCTTAGAAATGGAAAGCGAGGAGAGAAGAGTTGAAAGTTGCAATTTTTGCTTTTATACAGAAAAACAAGCAACGGAAACGCTCGCCAAGTGCAATCTCATTCCGGTTACGTTTGCTACTTACGCTTTTGTATTGCGGATAGTGCTTATCAATGTAGGAAACTGCGATGTGCGTGGCGTGCGAGACGTCGTCGCCGGTGCTCGACTCGCTTCGCTGTCTTCTACAATCTTCCATATCTAAAGCCTCGTCGCTACACGGAAAATGTGACAATCAGCATTTCGCATAACACTGGCTCTTTCGACCTCGCAATATTCGCAAAGTATTAATTGCTCGCGATGTCGAAAGCATTTCGTTATGTAGATTCGCGAAAAGAAATACTTCGCCTCTTATTATTAAAATCAAGATTAAACGAAGCATCAAAATAACGAGATCTGCATAGAACAAATATTCTTATAAGAATAATTAATATCGAGTAAGAAACATCAAAGTAACGAATAGTAAACGGGGCCATTTGCTTTCATGAGAAAATATAGGTGTAATTAAAATAATATTGAAAAAAATGGAAAACGTCGGTTTCTTAATCACTTCAACCATTTTACTGGTGCATTTCTACCGTACATCACATTAAAAGGGGGTGTCGACTTTCCAAATGGAGCAACAGTGTTACCATCTCTCTCTTGTGCAGGGGTTTCGATTGCAGGTTTTTTTTTGGTGACGTGCTAACAGCAACGTTCGGAGGGAGAAACAATCGAAAGCGTTAGTTACCACCTCGAGTTGCTGCGCTTGCTCGCGTCTTGCTTGCCGGCCTGTAAATTCGGTAGATCCTTCTGCCGTTTCTTCGTCTCCTTCCAGATACGCCAGTACAAGATTATCATTATCATGACAGGAACATAGAACGCGGCGATGGCCGTGCCGAAGGTGATGTAGTGGTTCGTCTCGATGAACTGGATGTAGCACGCGGTCTTCGGCACGGTCCTTTGGCCCTCGATGTACGGCCACGCGTAGATCCAGGGCGGCCAAAGAAGCAGCGATATACCCCAGGCGGATGCTGCAAGCGAGAAAACGATTCGCGCCGCTCCCAATATTTTTCACCGCCTTCAATTCTCAATCTAATAGACGTTTAATTCCTCATAATGATAAAGTGGCCTATTTTAGCAATAATTTCAATATTTTAGTTACACGAAAAGCATAATAAAATATAGAATGTTGAAATGCGATATAAAATGAAGAAGAGAGTGGATTGAGTGTTTGAGTTTCAACAATCGTCCACCGGCTTCTGGATGATCTTACGTTTAATTTTTATCTTATCACACTTCCTATTTTTATTCGATTCGTTTTGAAGGCGTGCGAGACTCACCGATCATAATGGCAGCTTTGACAGTGGTCCTTCTGGCCCGGTAGGTGAGCGGCCGCGTGACGGAGAAGTATCTGTCGAAGCTGATGATGAGCAGATTGAGAACCGACGCGTTGCTCGCGAGATAGTCGAGGGCGAGCCACGTGTCGCACACGTGGGGCCCGAGCGGCCAGTAGCCGAGTACCGTGTACAGCGTGAACAGAGGCATGGAGATTAGGCCGATCGCGAAGTCGGCCACCGCCAGGCTGAAGAGGAAGTAGTTGGAGATCGTCTGCAGCTGCTTATCGATCTTGAATGATATCATGACCATTATGTTGCCGGCGACCGTCATGAAACTGAGGAGGATGGCGATCACCACTATCAACACACGTTCCCATATGGCGTACTGATGGGGCTCACCGCCGCAGTCGAGACCGTTGGTGCTGTTAGAGCTGTCATTGCCGAGTTGATCCAGCATCAAAGTAACGTTCATGTCTGACGGGCTATTTCTCACCCTCTCCCTGTCTCTCTCTCTCTCTCTCTCTTTCTCTGTCTTTTTCTTTCTCTTCTTTCTCTTCCGCTTCGTTTTCGGAGAAAGTCGTCTTCCGCCGTCTTCTTCTTATCTATCCGCGATCCGGCGTTGCGCGCCCGGCACGGCTATCGGATTGCGCGCGCGGGCGATCGCGCGTCCTCTGATTCTCTCGCGAACGAACGATCCCGCGAGCAGTCGACTCGAATATCCGATCTTCGGGGGGCACCGTCAACCCTCGCAGAGCCCGCCTCGCCCCTCGCCGCCACCCTCTCTCGCGTACCCGCTTTACCATGCGCGCGGTGGTACGCCGATGGAGCGGAGCGTTCGCCCACGCGCTCGCACGCGCGCGCGCCCGCACGCACGTACGCGCGAACGCGCGAACGCCACGCTTCTGGTCTCGCTTGCCGGCGGACACCGGGACTCGGTGCGTACCTCGCCGCTACCGTCGCGAATGCTTCCCTTTTCCGTCGCCGCTTCGTCTTCCTCGTCTTCTTCTTCGTCCCCCTCCTCCTCCTCCTCCTCTTCGTCGTCCACCGCCTCCGTCGTCGTCGTGCTCTCGCTAGGTGGAAGGTAGTGTCAACTACATCCCACGCTTGCTCCTCTCGGTGGAGACATCGAGTCTGCCGACAGAAATGAGGCTGATGTACCGAAAACACATCTGTCTTTGTCAATTTACCTCGTCTTTTGTAAATATCGATCGATTTGTAAATGGCAATCGATTATAAATAAATTAAGTCACATTTCCTGCTAACGCAAATCACTTTTAGCTACACGCGTAGGAGTCAATTTTGCCCGACAAACTGCACGATTAACAGATAAAATTATTTAATTGATAGCCAACATTCAACGTCGACAGGAACAAATATATAAATGTTTCTAAACTTTTGTGCGATAAAAAATAAAGAAGCATAACGTAAACCACTATTTTCGCTGATCAGGTGAAAGCTCCGCAAATTAATTTCTGGCGGCGCGTGCTCTCAAGATGCAGTCGTCTATTCGACACAAGTGTTCTCGCATCTTCCACGCGACTCGTCTTAATTCCCGGCGGTAAACGCGCACCGAGAGACACTCCAGTGGTGTAATAAAGAAAAAAACAGGAAAAGATAGAGGGAGAAAAGTTCTTCTTTCTACTTTGGCACACGGCACGGTGACTATGCCAGGCAAACCGCGAAGAGCGCAGTCAATGCCGCGGGGCTTTCCACTCCGTTTCCGTCGCTCGATCCGCGTAGGAGACGCGCTTTTCTCTTCCCCAATTGCTACTTTGTCTTTAACGAGCTACTTATTCGCCCCTCTAGCGAAACGCGCTGTACACGCGAAAAAAAGGAAGGAAGAGGAGCATTGAAAACGCCCTGTATCGAGCGTTCGCGATTTCGTCTCCTAACGCGAGCACAATGCACGCTCCTCCGCGAATCTCGCGTGTGTCAGCGGCGACACTTATCAGACTCGAGAGGGGGAGAGAAAGAGATAGAGCAGATTATCGATGATTAGACTGTTGACCCTTTTTCCTCAAACGCGCGACAACGACAGTCGCGAATTCGAATTCCATGGAAATTATTAATCGTCGAGATTAATCGTCGAGATCCGAGAAGGAGAGAGAAAGAGTTCCTCATACGCGAATAAAAAATTCAATTATACAAATTATAATTATAAATTAAGCATTATTGTATTTCCGCTAACAACATTCGTTTGTTCAGATATTTTTAGCGCGACCTGGATGTAACGTGAAAACACACGAGGCCTCCTCCGATGTAATGCGCCGGTTTTACATGGGCGAATAACGGGTTTGTAAAAGCAGCGAGCACTCAAAGGACGTCGACGTAAAGTTTCGGGCTCTTGTTATCGTCTAGAATCACAATTCGATCGCGTTCCAGGCACTCCGGGTCTCGTCTCGAAGAGCGCTCGCAGTGGAGCGAGTCGGCGTATAGCGCAGCGGCGGGGCGGCGCTCCAATTACGGACGTATTTCACTTGGCTCGCCGACTTGTCCCCGTAAACGCGCCTCGCCGCGCGGCCTTAATACGCGTTGGAAATTTTGCGAGTGTTACGAATTATCTCTCTCTCTATGCAGCGGTGCGTCCCGAAAGGGCCGTCGCGAAAGTCAGTTAATTTGCACAATTAACTGACATTTACAGCGCAGCCTGTAAAATCACGGAGCGCGCCTGAGAGACGATAAATAAAATGCATTTACGTGCTAATGAGTAATTAACAATCCCATCTGCGCGTTTCACAAATTAATAGATTCTTCGACTCCCATATTGGTCGCTAAAAAATAGAAGCATCCGGAAACTCGAATATTTTTTCATCAATTTCCGTTTTTCTTCGGCGAAAATGTCGTCGACGACTTTGTAAACGATCGGAAAGCAAGAGTCTGTCGTGTATTAAATGCCGAGAATGGAAATGAGTAGCCAAAGTTCGGTCGTGATTTAATTTCAAGTGGATTTTGCTGTAATCAAGTATTTTCGGCTTTAATGAAATATTCTCTCTGTGGATTTAAAGTTTCGCGTCTAAATTAAAAGCGGCTCAAAAATTCTTCAGACCCGCTCCATCGCCAAAGGGCGATTGTCTGCGAGGCTCTCTCTCTCTCCCTCTCTCTTGGGAATATCACGGGCGCTTTATCGCGAAAGGACATCGGTAAGGACACTTTGGAAATAACGTACTCGATAACTGCCATAACTGCGATAGATTCCTCATTGAATGCGGCCAGTTCGATATGCCGGTCGAGCTGCTGCTGCTGCTGCTGCTGCTGCTGCTGCTGTTGTTGCTGTTGCTGCTGCGGCAAGGGCGTGGAAGGATGCATGTTGCGCCCAGGTGTGCAACGCGATTACCTCTCCGTTAAGTGCGCATGGCATGCTCGCCTCCTGTAATTATAGAAACACCAGCGATATTTAAACCCTTTTGCGAGAGTGTGCGACCGTGCTTTTGCGAATATTAGATACACGCTCGCTACGGCGAAGCCGCTAATGTTCACCTCATGAATTGAACATTTATATGAAAAGAACGGCTAAGCGCCGCGTTCAAGCTCCCTCGGGCTGTAATCGTTTCGGAATTATTTATGTAAAGAAAAGTAAGTGCTAATCTGTCCTGCCACCGCCGTCTGTGTTTTACGTTTCGCATATTACATAAATAACACAGCTCGCTCGAAAACTGAAACGCTTCTCCTTTCAATTTGAAGATTCATCAGGAGCTTCTCAGGTGACTGTGAAATTAGTTTCTCCTTTCGCGGGACGAGAAAACTGTCGAGAAATCAACGATATTACGACGAACGTATCTGGATCGATGACGTTCACGCCGCTCGACATTTACCGCGCGCGAGGACAAAGGCGCACGGGCTTCGCCGTTTGTTATTCGTTGGTATTAACGTTTCCGCGATTGTGTTTCACATCGCAGCGCGAGTAGGCGCGAACTTCAATATCGAGCTTCTCGTAACGCGTTTCGCGAAGGTCGAACGGCGCCGCGTCCGCCTTCGGGATGATCGGAAGCGTGTGACGGGACGTCGTTCGAAAATCGATACGCGAGCCTGTAATTTTTACCTTACGCCGTCTAACGAGGCTTTCAATTGTTCATCCCTCCACCGTAGCCTCATTTCACATCGGAGCGCGTGAAAAGTTCATCGAGTAGAATTTCTGAATAAAGGCGCCTTCGCGACATCGGATATCTCATCCCGGCGATCTTTATTTTATTGGCAGATCCTTTCGCGCCGCGCTCGCGCTATCGATATATAATGCAATAAACGCGCGCGCGGTAAAACGTAAAAGGAAGCGCCATTTTATCCTTAAGATTGTACGTGCGGCGAGGAAATTGCACGCAGCAAGGATTAGACTGTTAAAGCGCAACAGAGTGGTCCTGGCGCGACGGCATTTAAATCGTGGTGGATGCTTGCCAAGAAGTCGGCGGCGGTATTACGATGCCATCACTACTTTACGTACGACGAACCCCGGCTCTTTTTTTACGAGCAACTAGCCGTATCAGCCCAATCTTTCGCTATCGCAAAAGAAAAAAAGGATTACGCGTCGCCACGTAGCTGGAAAATACTTTGCGATCTTGAAAAATATGAAAAATGCCGCGCGGTCGTCAAGAGTTAAATATAAAATTATCAATTGATATCGAGTGAAAAGTGTATTTTCGCTCAATGTTAATCCGACCTTGCATACGTAATTAACCATGGGATCAGCGCGGGCGATTAATCGCGCGCGATTTCTTTCACCTAATAAAGGGCATTCTTGGATTTTGCCGGCGAATGTCGGTGTGAAAGCAGTTATGCGTTCGTGCGGAAAACTTCGGGGTGGCCGTCGAGCGCGCCGCTTCATTTCAGGTGGTGTATCACAATGGTGTAACTATGGTTACACCCGCCTCGCATCCGATCCGAGAGCCGGAGAATAGGCGCTATAACGCTCGCCAGATAGTGGCTGCTGGCTGACCCTATACGCCGTCATGTGACCTGCTCCATAAATAAATATAGATACGCATAGAAACGCGCGGTCTCGTTAATACAACGCGCCGCGCGCACGGTATAACGAACACTGGCCTTAATTAGTTTGTTAATACAGCCAGACGACTCAGACATCGCGCTGCATCAGTATGCATGATTCCGGAAAGCGCTAACGAAGCCGCCAAAGCCCGGCTTAAGACGTTACAGGTTGATCTTCAGGACGTCGCTTCTGCTTTGCGACGCCGCAAGACACGCGGTGCAAAACCACACCGACAAAAATAACTTTGCGATTCGCGGTAAAAAAAAACTTGTCGAGATTGAACAATCAATATCATCTCGCGATTTGAAAATGAAGCGAGACACCTGTCTTCTTGCCAAATTGATTGCTGAAATTAAATTCTGAAATTTCACTCAATTAAATACTGAATATTTTTCACCGTTAAGATTGCTACATGTTTCAACGAACACTGCAATGACAATTCGAAATGGAAACGTACCAAGCAGTTCTTTTCGCGTCGCGGAACTTTTAGCATTTATCGCGGTGCGGCGTTACAGAAAGTCCGTAATGCCGTTTGAAATAACGTCGTCAGTGACAGCTACGGGTTGCAGCGTGCAGATAACTGCGTGGCGCGCGCGTGTGCGCATTCATCGCGGACAATGCGAGCGATCTTTTAAAAGAGATCTACTTCGCGCTCTCTCTCCTATATAGACGCCGGTGGATGATGAGTATTAAAATCGCTTACGTCACACTGCTCGTGGTGTTCTCCGTTAAGTGGACAGGTAGGTATCGTGTGGCGCGCTCGCGCGCGCGATTATTCGCTGCCAGGATGCGTGTCTAATAATATACGTAATGCACAATGTTCGCCGTATCGCGCGATCGGACGTCGAAGTCCTTCGTTCCCTCGGCTCCCACGTGCTTTGCCGTGCGCAGAATATCGGAGCTGCCGCACTGAAATATAAATAAATAAATAAATTATAAATAAGCTGCTCGCGAAATTGATGAAAAAAGAAAAAAAAATTCCGCGAAACTGTGAGACTTTTACGAAGAGGGACATGTATAAAGCTGAATTTTTGCTTATTTTTATTGTGCAATGTTATTTTATGGAAATTTTCGCAACACTTGATTCAAAGAATGCTGCTGATTTTATTCGCAAGATATGAGTGCCAATCGAATGATGTTTTGATCGCGAGATAAATTCGTATACGGCTGTAAAACAACAACCGGACTATAAAACGTATAATAAAAGGATAAACGTAAAAATGTGATAAAATTACCGTAGAAAAACAGATTTAATATTTTTCGTATCAACGAAACGCTCCGTTGAATGACTGCGATTACGCTCCGTAAAGATATTTATCCTGCGAAGGATCTGTAAATGCACCGGCTCACGGAAAATGTAAAAATAATGTTTCAGCGGCGTGTAATAATGTAAACACTTTTATCGGCTATCGATTTCGGTCGACCTGCGCCGCTTCTTTTATTACAAGAGTATATATCGGGATACGTGATCCGAGATAGATTGCGGCTAAGTCTAACTCGCGGCATTAACGAGAGCCGATCGCCGATCGGCGGAATCACGACGTCTTCGTCCGGAAGCCGATTTTCGATCGGCGGCGATTCGTGCCGGCGAACTGATAACGCATTTCACAGCTGCGTTAATATGTAAAACGTATTAACGGCTAAATGATAAAAAAAAATAGCAGAAGGTCGTGATCCACTTATATACATCTCTCTCTCTCTCTCTGCTTATTACGAGGCGCTACACAGCCGGCCGCCAGCGCAGCGGCGGTCCCGGCGCTCTACAGATGAACTATAAATAAATTTTCCGATACGCTGCTCTTTTTGCCGATGAAAAAAAAAAATAATATATATATATACACATATATGTATTTCTTCCTTGCACGCGCGTAAACGCGCGCATGAACTGCGCTGTGCATATATTTTTACGGGCCCGATCGTGCACGACCATCGTTAACGTCAAACAACCTCCTGCGGATCCTTCCGCGCGTCCCGCGCTTAAGGGACGCTGTAAAGAAATTTCTCGCGCGTCGGGAAACGCGTTTCGAAAATCGAAGTCCGCTGAAAGTATCGCGTGGCGCAACGAGACCGCCGTTAACAACCTTTGATATTTCATTAATGAAGAACGCTTCTTTGTTTGTTTCTCGCTTGCAAAGGTTATGAAGGAACGTAATAATAAAGCGTTAGTTCGCGGACACTAAACATCCGTTTTTTTCCCCCCCTTTTTAAACTGGAGCGAAAAAGAGAACGAAATGCATATTAGAGAATAATAAAAGTAATAAAAATTTGCAGAGTAATTTGCAGCCCGCGTTACATCGCTCATTCGTTTCACAGAAAATTTCTTTCCCAATGCAATTAATATTTAATTATGTTAATACAATCAGCCACATTGATTACATTTTAAATTGAGTAATTGTAAGCTGAATTGTCACCAAGTTTGGCTGAATAATCAGTCGCATATCGAAGATACGCCCCGCTCTGTATTACTTCTCCTTTAAAGCCGGCGGCATTCGGCGGTATGAATATGTACAGAGGGGGGAGGGGGAGGCAGAGGGGGGGAAAAGGAAGAATCCCGATTAGGAATCGCATATCAATCGTCGCGCACGCCTCCCCGTTCACCAGGGGTGAAACAGGTGGCACTCGCTATTACCGCTGCGGCTTTTATTGCATTTTGCTCGCGAGTAGACATAAATGGGACATGTCGATCGAATTACTTCTAACGCGCGCCCCATACCTGACGATGAGGCAGTGGACTATATATCGGCGATAGCTACGGCGCCCAGGCTAGGTCGGAGATGTCTCTTAAGAGAAAACGGTGGATGTATGTACAACCTAATTCGGTACAGGAGTACAACACATAGTCGCTGGCCAGAGGTATTTCTCGTCGATACACACGATGCATCGGAAGTCCTGCGCGCGCTCTCTGTCTCTCTCTCTCCCTCTCTCTCTCTGTCTCTCTCTCTCCCGACTTGCGATTCGCTTTGCTGGGAAATTCGCATCGATTTTTCTTCGGCAAAATTTTCAAGAGTCTTCAAATCAATAAAATGTTATCTAACGATCTTTTAATATGCGAGTAGAAAAAAAAAAAAACGGGAAAATATTTTGAATGAGATAAAAAAATAAGCGCCGTATAATAAGAAGTGTGTTACGGGTATAAAAATAGAACTGCGAGGGGAAGCAAAGTTGACGGCGCTGGAAAGAAAGTAAGTAGAATAAAGTTCATCTTAATCTGAAATCCCTCTCCGAGCGAGTTTTTCGCTAAAAACAGATCAACACTAAAAGCCTTTGAGAATCCGCGAGTGCGCGCGCGATTTCTGATACATCCTTTATAGTATCGCGCCGAAGCCCCCGCCTTTTGCGTCAAAGAACGTAGTAACACCTTCGAGGCGCGTAGGATCGAGGTCGGGGCATTATTCTTTCTTCCGGAATACCCACGAAAGACCGAGAACCGTACCTCTCCGCTTCTATTTCCTAATGGAACATCCCGTATAGCAAATGACTCGGCACGCGATCGCGATTAAAAGGCGTGTTCCCGTTTGTCCGTCGGTGCTTTTCAGACATCGACGTTTGCGCCAGCGTTAACAGATCGGGGGGGCCGTTATATACAAAGCCCAACCCCAAATATTTCACCCGAGTGTGTGAGATTAATCGCGCGCCAAAAATTCTCAGATATTATTCCCCTTGAGGTCCTTCGACGCAGAGACGGCTCGCGGGGAGCGGACGAAATATTTTGCTTTTTGACAAGAGCGAAAATTGCATAGCGGACATTATCATTATCGCCGGTGGCTGTCACGTTCAGTTGAAAGGCGAGACAGGCGACAGATTGTTATCGCGGATTATAATAGGTCTCTTCTCTTCAGCTGCCACTTTCCGCACTTGTCTACACTCCTCTTCTTTCTCCCCTTTCCCCCCCGCCCCTTATCTCTCTCT